TTTTGAATTAAATGTAACTACCCTAATTAGTATGTTAAGTAGGTAATGGTGTAAATATGATTTAATTTTACAAAAACTCATTTATCTCCCTCTGGTTTTTTCAACTACTTATTATAAAATGAAATTTTATGTATGTTTTAGCCATATTATGCTTCTTACTAACCAGATAATTCAACAGACTTCTATTCCAAATGTAGTCCTCATAATCACTGCAAATTCAAATGCCTTTAGTCTTATACTTGGTTACTTAAATTTTTATAGTCACTATTTATAAAATATTACTGACTTTTTCTTACTGGCAAAATGAAGTTTAATACAATTTTTGTGCACATTTCTACATATCCTAGAAATGGAATTGCTATGTTATATGATACCATACCATGTACTTATGACCTAGTGTTTTGTATTGAAATAAATTACATGAATTTTTGTATTATTTAGTCCTCTGTTGCAAAATGAAACACCTATTGGAAAGAGTAAGAAAGCTACAAGTCATGTATTACAAAATACCAAATGCACATTTGTTATTTCCAAAGATTGGTAAACGTGAATTCCATACTGATAATGTATAGTAACAAGTGTTCAGTAAACTATTATTTTTTCTATAATTTAGTTCTTTATTTGATATGCTTCTAAAGTCTTCATTTTGCCATTTGTATTTCTCTAATAAAAATTTGACAGATGTCAAAAGACAACAATTTGCTATGTGTGATTAAAAAGTCATCTCATGCTTGTTGTAAGTGATTTAACCACCCCCATGTCATCGTATTGTTAGAAATACAGATATATTTTTTCACTTCATTTGTTGTTGAAATTTAGTTAGAGCATCTAAGTACAGGGAAAATGGTGACTAGTATAAATAACCTGCTTTTTAAAATTTCAAATCAAATTCATGAGCTTCATTAAAGTTCTATTACACAAAAACTGTTTTCTTCATGTATCACATAATTATTTTCCTGTACAATATTGTGCTTTTGTGTCTTATTAAACACTGTGTTTAGTAAAATTAGACTTCTTTGTATACATGATATTTCACCGTAAAATTGGATGAATCACACTGTTATTATAATAAGCAATCCAGAAGCTTTTCTTATAGAATTAATAAAAGTTTCAGTAGTGTTATTTTACTCTTTACCATATGTATTAATTATGTATATCGGCCTTAAAATTATCCCCCAAACTTAGCAATTTAAAATAATATTCATCTGTTATCTCACAATTCTGTGGGTCAAACGTCTAGGCGCAGTAAGACTGAGCTGGATCCTACACTGTGAGGCTAAAATCCGGTTGGCTGGGAAATTTTTGTTTGTTTCTTTATTAAGAGTTTCTGGCAAAAATTTGCTTCAGAAAACACTGATGTTGTTTACAAAATTGGGGTTCTTTTTGGTTGTAGGGCATGGATCTCCATTTTCCTGCTTGTCAGCCAGCGCCAGTATTTGATTAAAAAAAAAAATGCCATTGTATCTTCTAGTGTTTCCCTTGAGCCCAACCAGAACAGGTGGACTGATTCTCTTTCAGGATTTTAGTCCCCAAAAGTCTTGAGGAATTTTCTTTAAGTTTTTTTTTTTTTCAGACAGGGTCCTGCTGTATAATCCAGGCTGGCCTTGATCTCACTATGTAGCCTAGGCTGCCTCAAAGTCTGCGTCAGCCTCCTGTCTCAGCCTCCAAAGGGCTGGGATTGCAGATGTACATCATCCCCATCTAGCCTTGAATAAATGTAAAGGTCATGATAGTTCTGTTTCTCCATTTCATATTAACTGTTACATGTGAGTTATTCCAGAAAGTTACACAAGAACTGAATCTATTCATCATTTGTTAGGAACGCAGTAAAAATTCATGTTAAGCAGTTCCTCTATATGTAAAAATTGTTTTCCAGTTCAAAGAACTTATTATTGATTACTATTTATTAGCATTGCATCAATTCCAATTTAAATTATTTCTTTCTATATAAGAGTGAGGGGATTCTTAAAGAAATCCTTAGGATGTGATTAGACACAGTAACCATAGAAATGATTGTGTTCATGTCAGTTCAATTTTACTTCAACATATAACTATGCCTAGAAAAAAAAACTTGTTATAATCTGATGAAGTTGGAGCCTTGCTCATTTGTAAACACTATATTTTGTGAGTTTACTATCATTTATACTTTAGATACTGAAACTCCAGGAACTCCAGGGATATTATAACCAGTTTTCCTGTACCAAAATGTTATATTTATAGAAGGACTATGTACTAATACTTCCATCACTGACCTTCTAAAAGTTTTTGACTTCATAAAATATCAGCAAGAACTTAAAGTAAAATAAATACACAAAAGTATCAAAAGTATGGCCACTTACCAATAGGGCTTCCAATGCGAAAGATGAAAATATGTTGCATCACAATGTACTGTTATGAATTTCAAAATATTATATATTTTGCATGTACATTTAGGCACTAGTATTTCCTTTAAATCCCCACTTACCATAATCTCATTGATAAAAGTTATGTTCCAGGATGACCTCATGAATTTTAGTGTGAAACTTGTAAAACTCAAGTCTTGTTTTAAACTCAGATCTTCTTTTGTGTACCAGAAACAAAATGAGGTAGATTTATACCTCCAGTTCTCTCCGTAACTCAGAGAATGCAATGTTTCCTGCCTCTTTCACTGTACTGTCTTGAGACAGGAAAGTTCCTACATTTTTACTTACTCTGAAAAATCACATTAAGCTGTATGTGTTTTTGAAAGAGACCTAGAGATTTACATCTATTATCTCCCTTACCTATATCTTGCTAACCTATTTTCAAAGGGCATAAGGAAATTATAAACCCTGATCAGAGACCAGCAGATCTATTGGGTAATTCATCGTTTTTTTTTTCTTTGTAGTATTTTTATCTTTGCTTCTTATTTTTGAACTAATTAACGTATAGATTTTTTTTCTGAATGATTTTATGAGGCAAATCAGGGTGTTAAAGATTTAGAGATTATTTGTGAAGTAGAACCTCACCTCATGACTGATTAGAATTTACGCTTCCCAAAACTAAGGACCGAGGGACATTGTGATTGTTATAGCTCATAAGCTAAGCATGTTCCGGCTGAAGATCTTCTTCATTGCATACTTAGGATTCCAAAGTTGTTGCCAAAGTAGGATTCCTTATTAGAAATTTGCCTCACTGAAAACATCACAGAAATGAAGTTAGTCTGTAAACACTGTGTATTGAATACTTCAGCTGCATCCCCTTCGAGGGAAACTTGTCCCACTTAATCTGCCTAGTTATTCTTTATTAGTAATCTGGGAGAAAATGGGAGTCATGAATCTTCCATGTCCTCACTTCAGAATTGCCAAGTAAGAAAGAAGTAAAAAATGTGTTTTCTAGACATTGACAAACGAAAGTATTAAGAAGCAGAAGAAACAAAATAAAGCCAAAGGGATAAACATCAGAAGCTTGCTTAAACGTCTTTGGCCCCACATAATTGCCTTTCTGTCAGCAGGATTATTAACAATTTCAGACATCTGAAAATTAAATTAACAGCCTGAAAATATTTTACAGGATGAGATAGAGAATGATACATGAAACGTAATGACCCCACTGAAATTCAGCCAAGCCAGTGCAGCTACTCATGTAGACAGAGAAGACAACTAGTTAATCATCAGTGAGCAAATTAGACAGAGCAAATTAGTTTGCTACATTCCACAGCCTTAGCTACCAAAAAGAGGATATGCCACTAATTAGAATGAAAGAACTCTAGGCATATTATTATCTGTATAGAAAGAGAAAGCGAAATTGTAGCTCTGAATTGCTTCTACCACAGCCTGAAACCTCGGATACGTGGGTATAAATTACATATATCAGCGTCTGCTCTTATATGTACGTGTATTCATACACATAGTGAAGTTGGAGCAGCTTTCTTTTTTTTTTTTTAATTTTGACCTAATAAAAGTGTGAAAAATATTTCCAAGCTGGTTGGTATTTTCTGAGAATACTTACATAAACACAAGTAAAACAAAACTATTTTTTGAAGAGTGTTACCCTTAATTGGAGATTAAAATGGCCTTTCATATACTTTTCCTTGTAGAGCATTGTTGTTTTTTTTTTTTTGAAAAGTAAACACAAGTAAAACAAAACTATTTTTTGAAGAGTGTTACCCTTAATTGGAGATTAAAATGGCCTTTCATATACTTTTCCTTGTAGAGCATTGTTGTTTTTTTTTTCCTTTGAAAAGTATATTGCTGTTGCATGTGAAATAAATATTTGGACTTAGTTTATCACTGGAGATTAATCTAAAATCATATTTTCTAGCCTTAATTAGCATTCATTTGCTTAATTGTCATTCTCAGCCCCATCATTTTCATTTTGCACTAACTTGAACAATGCTATCTTCTGCTGTTTGCACTTTAATTTAAATTTCTATTAAGGTTTATGAACAGTAATAAGGTCCTGTTTGAATATTCATTAGCTTCTGAATTGTGAGCTATGAAAAGGTGCTTTCTTTTACCTTAATGAAACTGGCACAGCATGGGACTGATCAGTTGTGACATTTGATTTGAGGCATCCAGTGAATTTCCTCATTGTTTATTGACACTTCTTGTCCAAACAGCTCCCTCGCAAGTGAGCGGAGTAATGAAGGAAAAAGTGCTGCAGAGGAGTGTGGAGCTTTCCTGGCAGGAACCGGAGCATCCCAATGGAGTCATCACCGAATATGAAATCAAGTATTACGAGAAAGTAAGTGCGAACAGCAGCTGAAATGTACAGCAGTGTGCGCTGTGTCTCCTGTCATCCTGTAGCATTGTTCACCAGCGCTGGTCATTACACTATTTGGAGTTACTTCAAAATTCATAATTAATTTTAGCCACTTTTCATAACCGTCTCGCTGAATTTCTGTTTCACCATTACAATCACAGTTTCTGTGTATTGAGTTTATGTGTTGTAAAGACAAAAACTTTCAGTTTGTAGTATAGTTATGTATTCGATTTTGATATTGTGACTGTTAGGCATAAGATGTATCACAGAAACTGCACAACCCAATGCAGTTTGAAGAGGTGTTTCTTTGAGCATGTCTGTTTGGGCCCTTAATGATTCATTTAATTTGTTTGGTGTTTGTAGTAATAATGATGTTCTTAAACAATTTAATAATCGGGAAGTAAGAATATTTTTATAACAATATATAGTATTCTGTAGACTTAAGAATCAGAGGATGTTATTTCACTCTTTTAAATTCTTCCAGAAATTCGTTTTGTTATACAAATATTTTATGTTAACATAATGTTAACACCCCTCCCAACGTGAAAAGTCTTATGGCTAAAACCAAAGTGCTGCTCCTGTAATTGCCTTATAATGACTAAATCTTAGTTAATAATAATATATTTGAGTGTATAGCTATTTCTGTCTGATTTGGAGATAGATAAGTATATATGTATATTTTGTTCACAAATCACTATTCATCTCCCAGTAGGACCTGGCTCATGGGTTAAACATGGAAACTGTTAAACATGGAAACTGTTACTATTCTTGCAGTGATAATAAATATTATTAGCATTGACTTACTGAGCTAGCTGAAGTGCTGTAATGTACATAAGCACGTTAACTGTTTAGGTGGTACTGCAAAAAGCTTTGAAAAAGTTTAACGGGTGAATAAATTGAAATCTGTACCACGCATTGGTAATAAGAACATTTTTTCTTTGAAGATAAAACAGTTTAAAATTAGTTTTCTTTTAATATTCACATTAAGTTCAAAATCTTATTACTTACATTGCATATTTAGGTCATCATGGCCAAAGTTGCATTTTATGTACCTCATTTTTGTACCAGGAAACATATTTCTTGTCCCATCAAATGTGTTAAATGGAACTATCAGTTTTGATGGGGGTTTTTGTTGTTGTTGGTTTTTTTTTTTTGCAGTTAGTTCAGATTTCAAAAGCAATAAAACATTCTTACTTTATACCAGAGATTGCACTGGTGGCCTTTGTACCGAAGAAGTATATCCTCAGCCTCCCTGACCCACCCTTTTTTTTTGAGAGAGAGACATACTCTTTCGAAGTACTGAGTTGCCCAAACTGGTTTGGAGTTATGATCTTCCTGATTCCCAGAGCGCTGTGATTATGGTCACGTGCCACCATGCCTTTCTACAATATGAAAAAAAAAATGTATTTTAAAAAATATGTTAGGTAGCAAGAGTAAATTTTCTTACAGAACAAATCTAAAAGATTTTGCAAATCTTAGCTTTGAAATGTGTTCATATAGTCAGTTGTTATTATGCATAACAGAAATAGAATGTGCCTGCATTCAGTAAATATTGCAAGTTAGTCAATAGGAAAAGATAAATACTACTATTACAGTGTAGTAGCATAGAAGAACATATAATGAACATAGCACTGCGTTTTCCCAGTAATGCCTAGTTATTTTGAGGTAAATATAGTGTCATAGCAACTATCATTTGTATAAATGGTTACAATGAAAGTGATCAGTTTTTGAAATTGAATTTATGCATATATTTATTTATATTTTTACAAATATGAAAATAAATCATTCAGATTAACAATTCAGAATTCAATGAATAATTTTATTTCCAGATGAAGTTAATATATATTTATTATAGAATGAATAAGAAAGTAAAATATATTTAAAGTATAATTTTTGAATTTTTTTCATAATCTATGTCATATCAATAAAACATATTTACCCATTTAAATATTTTTTAGTTTTTATATACTTGGCTGTTTGTACTTATTTCACTGAGTTGATATAAATATTTACATAAAAACATGAAATTCATGAGATGTAACTTTTTTTTTTTTGGTACTGAGAATCAAACTTGAGTCTTCACACTTGCAAGGCAGGCAATGGAACCACTGAGCTAGACCCCCCCCCCGACCCGAGATATAATTTATTAAAAAAAAACTGTAACCCTCAGTTTTCAGATCTGAAAAGTGATAAAATTAAATTTAAAATATTGTCAAATCATAATCACATATTTAATTTTTCCTTTCATATTAATGCTTTAATTAAAATATTCCATTAAATATTATTTTGGAGAGGCAGTTTTATTTCATAAGAAATACAATTTTTATTGAAAATAATTGATATGGCACTGAGGTGGTGGTTTTAACTGAATTTTTTCATTTAATATTTTTCTTAAATTCTAGCACTTGGCTTTTTTTCTTTCTGAACATCATTCAGGAAAAATACTTTCAAAACTACATTATGATGTGAAAACCACAACTGAACTGTGCATTTTACAGTAGCTCCCACAATTCGATCAATAGGGCACTTAATAATGTAACAGCTAAAAACTGTGCTACACTACCCTGTCACAGCGAAGAAAAAGGCAAAAATATCACAATGACTTTAACAGAGTTAAAGTCTTTGATATTTATAAAACAAAGGCATTTGTGTCCTATTTATATTTTATATTCTCTTACAAATAACTTGGTGTTATAAAATTCTACAAGTTGCCTCCCTAGAAGCAAGGCAGCAAATTAAAATAAATTTCAAGAATTAGATGTCAATTTGTCATATTTAAATATTCCCTGTAAATATTGTTTCTAGGATCAAAGGGAAAGGACCTACTCAACAGTAAAAACCAAGTCAACTTCAGCCTCCATTAATAATCTGAAACCAGGAACAGTGTATGTTTTCCAGATTCGGGCTTTTACTGCTGCGGGCTATGGGAATTACAGTCCCCGACTTGATGTGGCTACGCTAGAGGAAGCTGCAGGTAAAATGTTTGAAGGTAATTACCACCTTGGTTTGGATTCTTACTCTTGCTAACTCGGACGTTTTCCCCCAGTATTCAGGTTACTGATTTGCATCGAGATAATTTTTACATATAAATACAAACAAATGTGCAAAATGCATGTATTTTATAAAGGTCATTAAGGATAACAGTGTAAAATTTTCTGATTATTTTTGGCAATATTAGAACCATATGATTTATTAGTCTTAACAAGAACTGAGTATATATGTATAATTTTAAGAGACATTAGAAACAAAAGCAGGACTTACTCAATTTATGAGGATATGTTTATAAGATAGCTTTGTAGACCTCAGAGTGAACTTACTACAGCCGTGTTTATCAAAGCTTCTACTTCTGGGCCGGGGATTTAGCCCAATGGTTCCGCCGCCTGCCTCACAGGCACAAGGACCCAAATTCAATCCCTGGTACCAAAGCAACAACAAAGCTGCTACTTCTGCACAATACCCAAATGAGGCCAGAAAGTACACTGGGTAGGCACAAGAAACATATCCAAAGAGCTGGGATAATTTCAACTGCTTGCTCATTGGCAAGGATTTTAAAAATTGAAGTTCAGGATGATCTGAAAACATGTATTTCTTTTATATTTGCCACTTTTTGTTTTTCTTTTAAAATAGTTCAAGGATACTAAAAATATATGAAGTATAGATGAAATATAAAGGAGATAATTAAATCCATACCATTATATCTCAATCACAGAATGTAGTCAATATCTTTGTAGTCTTTTTAACATTTTGTGTCTTTTTTTTTTTTTTTTTTTTTTTTTTTTTTTTTTTTTTTTTTTTTTTTTTGGTACCGGGGATCGAACTCAGGGTCCTTGTGCTTGCAAGGCAGGTGTCAGAACCGCTGAGCTAAATTCCTGGCCCAACATTTTGTGTCTTATAATGTACCATAAGACTATTGTAAAGATACACGAATGTACAGTTTATAACAAATAAGCAGAGTGTCTTGAAGAGTGTGTCCCGGTTTCCTGTCAAGGGTTCAGACACCTACATTACCATTGCTGTAAGCTCTTCAGTTGGGCTGATGGCTCAGTTCATGTTTGTGTGTTGGGACAGTTTGGATTTTTCCTGTTGTTACTGCTCAGACACACAGTTCATTCACCAGTTATTTCTTCATCTCCTTGACAATCTTTAGAATTCTAGACAAAAATAAATACAAAATTAATGGGTGATTTTTCTTTCCTTACACTTTAAAAAAGCTTTTTAAAACAAATTAAATTTATGCAGTCATGATAAAATAGTTATTTTGACCTCAGAGTAAGATTTGTATAGACCTTGTAAAGCTATATTTGTAAGTATCCTTTGCATTAACTGATGCTTAAATTTTCTAACAGTAGTCTTTTTAGATAGACACAATGTATGATGAAGTCAGTGTGATTACAGGTCTTTTAAATAGAATTGTAGATATGAAGACATCAATTAAAAAAGGTTGTCACATATTGAGGATATACTCATGTGAAATAAATAAGTCACACATGTGTAAATACCAAATAGTCTCTCTGGTGTGAAAAACTATAATAGTACACAAGATTCTAATGGGATAATTAATAGTGTGAAATAGGAAGAAGAGGGCTAAAGGTGTAGGGAAAGTGGGAAGGGTAGGGGAAAGGGAACAAGGGCAAAGAAATAAATATGAGAAAATGAAAAAATGGAAATAAAGTGTTTGTAAATAGGGAGGATAGGAGGGGTGAAGGGAGGGCAGGGACAAGGGGAAAAAATGAGAACCAAGACCTGTCATGTAAAGGTACAAGATCCCAGTAATGAATGTAACTGTATTGTATACCTAGATTGTACCAATGAACTCAATTAAAAGAAAAAAAAAGTCACATAACTTGGTATGATGAGCTTGATAGTATTATCATTTTAAATTAAGTATACAAAACAAGTCAGAGGATGTAAGTTTAATAGTCTCTAAGACATTGTTAAATTCAGTAAATATTTCAACATTTAATATGAGTCTTTGAATATGGTCCAGAAGTTTTCAACTCAGACCAATTACTTGATATCATCTTGTAATTTCTAATGTAATAAGACATTTTAAATCATGCTTTTGTGTTATAATGAATAGTTTAAACTTAATTTAAAATGCCACTTAGTTATCTCACATTTACCTACACAGCCCCTATTCATAAAAGATCTTTAGTTTTGAAAACTTTTAAAATGTATGTGTGCCTTTTCCTTACTTTGCAAATTGAGAACATCAAGACAAGCTATTATTTGAGTGTAAAGATTAATAAATATTAATTTCATTATTTGCAAAAGAAGTAATTAAGACTCCTGATTTAAGTTGAAGCAGTAGAGTCCAAATGATCACATGAAATTTAAAGATGGATATTTTGCATTTTTAATGTTTGATTATTTTTACTGTCAGCATATTCTGTCCACTAGAATATGTCAAGTTGCTGAAAGAAGGATTTTTTTTTTTCCACTAGTATCTTGCCAGTGCCTACTATAGTATCTGGCACATAAAAAGCACTTAATAAATAAGCAGTGAACACCTCACACTGATCAACATAAAAGTGATTCTCAGTATCATTCAGCATTTGATAGACAATGCATAGTTTCAAACCTCATCTCTGTCCCATACAGTTTTAGGACTTTGGATAAGCTGCTTCTCTGCACCCGAACTACTGGGATAATAGTAGTCAATTCAGAGACTATTAAAAGGATTTGATATATTTTATATACAGGACACAAAATTCCATGTATCCCAGCATGCAAGCTTTTTTACTTTATTTATTTTTTTTTATTTTTTATCTATTTATTTATTTATTTATTTAGTTATTTATTTATTTATTTATTTATTTATTTTTGGTCCCACAGATCAAACTCGGGTCCTTGCACTTGCAAGGCAGGCGGTGGAACCACTGAGCTAAATCTCTGGCCCTAGCACGCAAGCTTTTATGTTTCATCAGTCATTTTCAACTTTTTTGATGTTAGGAATTTGATGTCAGTTTTAATACTAAGAGTATTAAGAACCCCCCCAAAACACTGTGTTTATTTCAGTTATATCTGTGTATATTTGTCATGTTAAAAATTACAACTAAAGTTTAAATTTATTTTTAAATTTTTCATTAGTATGTGTTTGTACACTTGATCTTAGCCAAACGGCTGAGAAGCGATCATTAGTATATTTTTGTAGTACATAATGATTACATTCATTATAGAGAACTGGTACTGTGTACCGGTACTCAGTTATTTTTTAATCCCCTTCCTTCCACCAAGGCCACTTTTGTAACAATGATTTTACCATGTCCTGTAACTTCTGGAAAATTCGTCTGTGCACTTGCAAGCAAATGTCAGTGAAAAACGAAAATAATATATTTGTATTATAAAAAAATAAATTTGATCCTATCAATTACCTGAAAAATCGTAGAAGATCCTTAGAGATTCCTAGACTACCCTTTTAAAACTGCTGATAGTCCAAGGCCCTGTGCTAAGAATTAGGTACACACGGAAGTAGGAGACACTGTTTACATACAAAAGGGCACAGAGGCTGTACAATTACAAACTACTGGAACGCATGGCCTGGTATTATCAGCATGTCAAGGAGAAGTGAGTGCATTCTCTTCTAGGGAGCTAGACTGGAGGGAGGATGATGCCTAAGATGAATCATTTCAGCACCATTCGAAAAAAAAAAAAAGTGAAACAGATACTCTTATATCATAAAATTTCTTCTACATAGAATCAACTCACTGTTTGTTTAATTTTTGCAACTTTTAAACCATGACTGTAACCTTTACAAATTGTATTTGACTAGGAAATAAATGAAAATATTGACCATAATCATCAGCTTTTAAAAGATTAAAGCCTGACCATACTTATAAATACTTACAAGTAAGCATTTGAAAATTCTGATTAATTACTCACCTGAGTCCAGATTTCTCATTGGAGCTCTATTTCTGCAACTAACGAATGACTGAGCCTGTGACAAACAGGCATTTAGACCTGTGGGCCTCACTGATTGGAACAAATTTCCACACAATGTGGAGAATGTTTTTCTTCTTCATGTGATGTTCCATTCTTTCTCTTTCTTAAAAAAAGAAAATAAAAAGCTAGATAAAAAAACAAATGAATCAAATAAAAATATTTGAAATTATCTTTTATGTGTTGTATGCTAATAGGTTGTAATGCAAAAATTAGACCTTGAAGTTGTTTTCTTTTGTTTAGTTCCATGAAGGGACTCAGCAGGTGGTAAATTAGGAACTGTACATAATACCTTTGTTTAGAAACTATCAGACCAGGAATTTTTACAGTTTTTCAGTATAGGAGCTATCTCGTTAGGTAAACAAAACTAAGAGTTAATTTGTCAAAATGAGATCATGGATAAAATAGAGATAGGCCAATCAGCAAAACACTGCTATTCCTATTTCAGTGAAATGTACTCTGCCTCTGTATAATTTCCTACTCTAGAGACACTGTCCCTTGCCACCAACTGTATTTTCCATTCTGCCTTAAGTTAAAAATTATAGATGTTGATCACATCTAATAATTAGAATTTCTGTATTATATGATATTTACGACTAGATTATTTATCAATGTACATTTTCATTGTTTCTTTGATGATTTTTCTTAGGCCTACACTCATTTTAAAATATAATTCTCTAGAGAAAGTGGGCCTATGGTGACATACAGTATGAGAAAATTTGGAAAATTAAAGTAGTAAGTTCTTGTTATTTTTGAAATATTCTAAATCAGAGGCTATTTTATGATAGCCTTTGCTCATCCCAAAGAGACTTTCAGAAAAGGCCAGCTGAGCTTGCATTAATGACATAGAAGAATCACTTGGTATTGCACAGGAAGTGTCTACAATTAGATAACAATACAAATGTTTTTTGAAGTACTTGCAGAAAGTTTATCTTGTATAAATAGGCTAACTTCTCTCTAATCTTATCACTTCTTTAAAAAGCAAAAGTAAACATGTATTTAAATTTACACTAGAATTGAAAATTAGAGGGCTGGAGATTTGGCTCAGTGGTTTTTCCACCTGCCTTGCAAGCACAAGGTCCCAAATTCAATCCCCGGTACCAAAAAAAATTTTTTCTCCTAGAATTGAAAATTAAAAGTGAAATAAACTAGATACCACTTTAATTAACCTCTTACATGCCTTCGTAGTATTGTTTCTGAAACAGTTTACTCTGTTTACAGCTACAGCTGTCTCCAGTGAACAGAATCCTGTGATTATTATTGCTGTGGTGGCTGTGGCAGGGACCATCATTTTGGTGTTCATGGTCTTTGGCTTCATTATTGGAAGAAGGTGGAGTATAGAGTTGTACTAAGCATGAAATATATTAATTTTTCAAAATTATGTCAGCCTATTATTGGTTTAATATATTAGAATTTTAAATAATAAATACAAACATCTCTTGTGTGATATTAGACTTTGAAGGTGACAAAATTGTTATTCTCTCAACATCAAAATACAGTAAGAATTTACAGAGAATGAGTATTATAATTTCTAATGGGTAAAGTTGCTTTGGGTATTTTCAGAGTTACATCTTCATGCAAATATACATGATACCTAAGGAAATATTTATTCTTTTATTTATTAAATTAAGTCTGTAAAAAAACTGTTTATATGATCTTGACCACTCATTGATGATTCCACACCTCACACACATGCATAAAGTATGACATTTACTTCATTTTTGGTGCGGTTTTGAAATCATATGAATTGCCATATTATTACTCAATGGGTTCATGACTTTGGAAAAGAATCTTTTTTATTTAGTTTATAACTCTAGCATGTTGTTAAATAATACGACAGATGATAAGATATATAATACTAAAGGTTAAATATATATTCTGAGATCATTGGTTGAGATCATCACAGATTTGCTTCTTTACAGGCACTGTGGTTATAGCAAAGCTGATCAAGAAGGGGATGAAGAACTTTACTTTCATTGTAAGTGTTTGGTTTTTCTTTATTATTATATACCCCAATTAATTCAGAAATCGGATTGTTAGTATTGGCATGGACAAATTCCTAATGCATCATGCTTGAAATCATGCTTGAATTGAAATTATAATGAACTCAGATTATTGCCTTTAAAATATTTGAACAAGATATTTAGGGAAAAAATCATATGAAACAAATACGCAAAATAAGATAGATTCCAAAATGTTATATAAGAGCAGGATATTCAGCTACTTTTATATCACAGTTTTTCCTTTTGTAAACTTTCCCTAATTCTTTTTATGATTCTAATAACAATCCATTAAATGTTGCCTGTGCCTATTTTTTAGCTAAGGAATTTTTCAAATTAGAAGGATGGATAGTCTTTTCCCCCTCCTGATGTATAATGATATGAAGAAAAGCTGTGAGGAGCCTCTTTTCACTATAATTTTTAATATCTGCTAGATATTTCACAAAACATGAGTAACATAGTAGTATTCAGTCCTTGTGGCTTTTCTATGGATTTGAGTTACTTACTTCTTAAAAGTTCCTATTAGAAATTATATCTGAAGAGCGGCTAGGAACCCAAAGAAAATAGATACCATCTGCATTAATCTCTTTCTTGTTACAAAGTGACAAAAATGAGAGCCACGATAGCAAATGTTGCACTTTATCCAGACAGAATAAAACCTTACCAATCAACTGATTCAACTCAGATAACTAATGTCATTCTTATCCAAACTCATTGTTATTATTTTAATCCTTTAAAATATTAGAAGCCAAATTATTATTTTTCTTAGTATCTATAATTTTTACTCTTATTTTCTCATGTTGTGGATAAACTTCCTACTAATGGCATATGAATTATATCATTTACTTAGTAATTGATCATATTCTTATGTCAGTATATGAAAGGACATGGTCACAGACTATGTCATAAGAACATGAGTTAAGAATTTCTAATCATTATAGAATTTTCTTTTTTAAACCTCAAAGGAATATGTGGTTCAAATATATATAAGTTGTGAGTACTTTTTATCATTCTAAAAATATTTAATATGATTTCATAAAGGGACATATGGGATACTACAAATTACTCAAGTAAAAGAAGGGTGGTTTCATGGACCCCTTCAGGCCACTGGATGTGCTAACAATTTTATATATATAATAATATTATTTTTCTTAAAGAGGGTGTCCCAAAGCATGTAAGGGTCAAGCATCACAATACTTGAACCTGCCCCTGATTATGACTAAATACCTGTGACTCTGCTACCTGACTTGGAATTCTTGTTACACTCCCACTGGAACCTTCCTTTTGCTAATTTTGTAGAGATTTTCCTGTGAAGACCCTCAGTGACAAGAGCCCCTTGGCCACTTTATGGCTAGAACATGTACAGAAAATTGGTGTTCACATTGTTTTCTCTTTCATGAAAGCAGAGAATGTTTTTAACATTTCCCCAAAATGAAGGATCAAAACTTGACTATCTGAATTTTTATTTCTAATGTAAAAGATATATAGAAGGGTAACATATGAACATAGTTCATGGAATCCCTGATCCTACTTATCTGGGAATAATTTAGTGGCACAGTTATTTAATATTACCGTAATCAGTATGTCACTTTTCTTTGTTTCATATATCTGACACATCTCCAAATTATCAAGCATGCCTTAGGTTGTTTACTTTTAACTTGTAGGTTAATGCAGATGTTAAATTGAAACATGACTTATCAAAAATTTGTTTATAACTTTATGTTTAATAGTCATTCAGTTTTAATACTTTAATGCCATTCACTTTTTTGACATTTCACATTCACTTTAAAATAAGAAAAAAATGTATAACTACATGTCTTACTTATGAGTATAGACAAGATAAGCTTGCTATTTATCAACAGATTTCATCTCTGTGGCAGAATATCTACAGTGGTTTTAAAATATTCAACGTTTATGAGAAATGTAAATGAGGTACTGAAACACAAAAAAAGGTCACTCTTAAATCGGAATAAGAAACAGACCAGAATATTTAGACATTATGTCAATATTTATTTTAAAATATCTTATTTTTAATGAATAATGAAAAAATAAAGCACACTTAACATTTTCTATCCTGGTATATTCTTGATATTTTTGAATCATGCTTTTTCCATGGATATCTTTGTCGTCATTTGATGGGAACTAAGCACTTTATTTTACTTTATGGCTGTATCTAAAATGCTTGAAATGCAACACTGTGATCTCCAGCTATTTACAAGTTGGTATCTGTTTATTCCCTTAGTACACCGACAATTTTTCCTAGGTGCTAAGACACGAGATTGAATTTTTACAGAAACTTGAAAGCAACCATTTAACTAGCTTTCAGAGCATGGAATTTAATAGAATGTCCAGTCATTTGTATCAGGTGCCCTCAACTCTCTGTGGCCCCAAGTGCTCCACTTCAAAACAGAAACACAATGCAATAGGTTAGCAAAGCAGTTCCAATTTACATTTTGTTTCCTCCTGCCATTTCTTCTAGCGATGTCTTGGAATCCAAGCTGGGCACTATTTCATGTTTTTATGCCAAAATAGGTCTGGCCTGTCAAAATGTTTTATGACAGCTTGAATAAAAAACCATCGGAGAGCCATTTGAGATGCAGAAGGCTATGTATGTCCAATCTGACTTACTTATCAAAAACAAAATAATTTTTAAAAAAACAATGAAAGAAAGAAAGAGAGAATAAAAAGGGAGAAGATGGCTCTCCATCTGCCTGCCAATCTAGGAGGTTAACCTATTGTTTTCTTCCCTTCTCTCTTTTTCTCTTTCCCCCGTCTCCCCTGTATTCCTTCTTCTCTCTTTTCTCTTTCTATCCCCTCTCTCTTTTCTTCTTGTGTTGTTTTTTTTTTCATGTTCAGCTTTAGTAACAAATGAGCATCTGTCAGTTTTATAAACCGCAACAATAATTGTTTAAGACAATCAATTTTGGATAAACAGTCAACTACAGCAGAATAAGTCAAGATTTTTAAATCCCATTTTCCTTTATACATTATGCTTCTTTTTGTTTGTTATATGTTTATTTTTAAAATATAATTTTAATTTAATGTGATGACATAAGCACAGTTAGGCTGCAGTGTAATATATAAAGAAATATATTGTTCTCCAAATAGTAAGATTTAACGAAAAGATTGTTTGGTGGCTTTGTTAAAAAACAATAAAGTTTTTTTAAGGATATAGTGTAATTTTTTTCATTGCATTAGTATAACCAAATATATGCCTATCTATCTTACCTTTGTCTTTAATCAAATGATTATTTGGAATATATTGTTGTAACTGGATTTCATATAAAGCATAGCATTATCTGTTACCTGCATGCTTCTGGGTGCATTTCAATAAGATTTTAACTTTTAAGATGATTCTATGTTGTTGGAATTTTTTCTACCTTTTGTGAGGCTTACTGGCTACCTCCTCATAGCAGTTAAAATCTTCCAAAGCCTTATAATTAAAAGTTCATATGAACCATTTCTCTTTCAAATTACTGTCATACTTGGTTAAGAGATCCCAGGAATATTGTAAATTTTCTAACTTTCCTCTGCATTTTGTACATCTGGCCTCTATTGCCTTTTAAGGTGAAGATGAAACTATGTCTTTAGAAGATTTCGCTTTGATTCTGTGATAGCAGTCCCTCCTATCTTGTATTAATTTTATGTATATGTCAACGGTGGTTGGTCTTTAAAAAATAAATCAAGAAAATAAGTAAGATGTCTAAATGTTTTTAATATTGGTGTCAGTGTAGTAGTCTACCTGTAAATGAAATGTCTTCTTTTCCCAGTGTATTAGTTTGATTGATTGACTGACTGATAGATTTGCAAATGTGTTTCCAAGTCCATTACAAACCTCCATATGGCTTGAACTATGCCATGATAGCAGTGAATTTAATTAAACCTCCCATCTGATAGGCATGTCAGAAATTTTGGTGCATGTCTTTTGTTGATTTACTGGAAAAGCAATTCAGTTAGTAACCTATGAGCTGGATCCTATGTTACCTATAGAAGCTTGCAGATAATACCTATACGCCAACAGACTGAAGTAGTCTGTTAAAACTGCTGTGAATCAGGTGATCTGGAAGCAAGTTCACTGTTCCAAGAAGCACTCTGCATAATGAAATTCCTGGGCTGACTGCACAATAAGTGCTTTGCTTCATCACAGTCATGCTTTCTTACATCATTACAGTTAAATTTCCAGGCACCAAAACCTACATTGACCCTGAAACCTATGAGGACCCAAATAGAGCTGTCCATCAATTCGCCAAGGAGCTAGATGCCTCCTGTATTAAAATTGAGCGTGTGATTGGTGCAGGTAAGGTTGTTGTAGCTTCCTTGTTCAGCTGTTCCATTTAGCCAGGATCGAAAGTCATACATCATAATGACAGCCAAATAATTATACCTCAAGTATAGAACTTTTGCATTCACCTGAACTGTTGGGAGCAATGAGGCTGTACTTGCTTATGAAATCTTAAGAAAAAAATGAGAAAAAGAAGCATGTGGCAGGGAGAGAATCTGTATATATTTGGTTTTATGTTGAATCTTTAAGGGCTTGTTTTTTAAGCTATTTCATAATAGTCTTGGCTGGTTGCTCAAAAACTGATTCTGTAGTTCTTAAAGAATTTTCCTGAATGGAATATACATTTTCACTTACTTGATTTACCATCTTTTTTGAAAAGTTTTATTTGTGTCTTTTTTCTTATATTTGTAGATATTGGCTATTTTACAATTGAAATCATTCATGTAGAAAATTAATGTGTTTCAATTATTTAGAGTATATTATTTTATATATTTTCATAATAATCAAACAGTTTTGCATCCAAGTCCCTTAAATTCAGCATATGTAATACATATAAATATAAAACAAATCTTTGATAAATATTTACTTCTCAAATGTTAAAAAACAGTGGCAACATTTAGAATTTGCTAACGTACTCTTACAGCAGTGTAGCTTGTGTGTTATATTTGAAATCTAAATGTTGACTCTTAAAGGATATTTGATAATCGAATTGAAAATTTGTAGCCTGTTTTACACTTCAGGAAAGCTTAATATATATGAAGAGCTAAAATGTACCTTTAAGTTTTAATTTCAATTTTTCATTCTTTTTGTAAGGGAGATGAAATTTCTCATGTATAGGAATGGCATTCATTTTAACTTGGAGAAAATGGTTTCTTAATGTTTAAAAAATGCTTTTTAAGAAAAAATATTTCAGAAATTGAAATGCATCTGTTTGTTCCATTACTTCAGGAGAATTTGGAGAAGTCTGCAGTGGTCGTTTGAAACTTCCAGGGAAAAGAGATGTTGCAGTAGCTATAAAGACACTGAAAGTCGGTTACACAGAAAAACAAAGGAGAGACTTTTTATGTGAAGCAAGCATCATGGGACAGTTTGACCACCCAAATGTTGTCCATTTGGAAGGGGTTGTTACAAGAGGTAGTTAATGGTTGTATCTATCACTTATTGAATGAACTGCATGTCAGAAATTAGTATTATTGTGTACATAATAAAAAATCATGTACATATTGCACATTCCAAATGAACTGTTTTATATTTAATTAATTCCTTTTTTCTGCCACTTCAGAAAAGAAATTGGGAAAAATGAAATAACAGTTTAAAAATAAATCTGATATATGAAAAGACCAATAAGTTTTTATTTAGCTTCAAAGGCCATAAAAGTGATACAGTTTAGTTTTTATATTTTATATTAGTATTTTCTTTGTCTTTCACTCACAAAGCAGGAATCAGAGAACAGGTCTATTTTTATTTGTATGGCTTAATTGGAGGTATATGAACCATATTCTAAGGTAACATTTATGACTTTCTTGAGCTTAACAGCAGCATTGGAAATATTAGGAATACTCATATCTTACTCACTCAACAACTCAAAAGTTTAGCTTTTTGGCTTTTGAAATAATGGTTTTTTTTGTTTTATTTTGCTTAATTTTAGGAAAACCAGTCATGATTGTAATAGAATTCATGGAAAATGGAGCCCTAGATGCATTTCTCAGGGTAAGTATTAAAATTATCCTCCCATTCAGGATATTCTGTACATGCCACCAATATAATCTTGAGCTTAGTTTTGCAGTGTAAAATATGAACTTTATAAAATGTGAGGTCAAGAAATTATCTCTAAAAATCAGATTATCAGAGATCTAGACTGAATTAAACTAGAATATTGTGAGCATTTTAATAATAAAGTGTGGTTTAAAAAGTAGTCTCCAGTAGTGTCTAGTACCTGAAGCCTGGAGGTTACCATGAAGCCTTATTTAAATACATGTTAAGGAAAGCATATACAATTATAAATGAGATAAGGAGGTAAATAGTCTTCTCTTTAGAGAAAGTGAAATAGCCAGTTTACATTGACATTCTGATCCCATTTTCTGTAAAACACTTTTTATTGTATTTTGGGAAATTGAGTTTTTAAAATATACAATTATTAGTATGATTTTTAGTGAATGATATGTGACTTTTTGTGAGGGACAAATGCTAAGTACATAAATATGTATACAGTACTTGCATTCATAGGGACTGTTTACTTAAGAAGATGAACATATTAACATTTTCCAAATGGTAAGGAGAATATAATCTAAAGAGGTCATTTTGTGTGATCTAGTGTGATGTATTCAACATAGATTCATAAGCAATTAGAGTTTTGAGAAATTTTAATTCAGAGAGTTATATCATTGTGATATACAAGCAATCATTTCTCCGGGGCATAACCGAGAAGAGTCATCAACTTAAGCCAAAGTCCTGTGCTCAGCATGTTTGTATACACTTGTTGAAAACCTTGAGTTCAAAATAGTTCAGAAATACATAGTGGCCTCTGATTGCAAATATTTCTCAATGTTGCCAGTAATGTTTCTAAAACAGAGGAATAAAATGAAAGCAAAATCAAACACTACAGTAAGTTTCTACTTTGTAGTTTTTCTTCATTTTCAATAAAATATTTGCCCTTTCCTTTTCTTTCAATCTGGCAGAAAAACTTAATATATGTATATTCATCTTTTAAAATATTTTTAGATTATTTACATAATTTTTGTGGCATTAGAGAGCACTTAGCTGTCGGAAGTAATATATTTCGATATTCCTTTTCCTTTTACTTAAAATTTATGGATACTTTTACACACATATAATCTCAAACTACTATTAGTGATCTTAAAATAACAAATTAATATAGATCATGAAGCAAGTGCCACAGTGTGACCTTATTTTATTTGACTGCCAGTTAAATCATCATGTTACGTTTTTTCACAATGGTCCCTTTAAAAATCAACACTTCCTATTACACAATCATAAATGACAAGTATGCAGACGGTTCTTAGGGTGAATTTTGTCCTCGTTCATGGGCAGTTATCTGAACTTCTATTTTGTCTGTCTTCCTGCAGAAACATGATGGGCAGTTTACCGTCATTCAGTTGGTAGGAATGCTGAGAGGAATTGCTGCCGGGATGAGATACTTAGCCGATATGGGATATGTTCACAGGGACCTTGCCGCTCGCAATATTCTTGTCAACAGCAATCTTGTGTGTAAAGTGTCAGACTTTGGTCTGTCCCGGGTAATAGAGGATGATCCAGAAGCTGTCTACACAACCACTGTAAGAAAGACTATTACTATGCTTCTTTATATTTCTAACATTTTTCTACAGTGAAAACAAGACAATACAAAATTAAACAGAAGAAAAGAGGCGAATTGATCTGGCTTTTTCCTTTCCCCTGTGGAAAAATTATTGTTGTCATTACACACTACATATAAGCGAAGAAGGGACATACTAAGAGTGACAACATTGCTTACCTTCTATTGGAATGTTCCTGTACACACTGTGCAGTTCAGAAGTTCAGACACCACCTAGTTAGTAGGTCATAACTACAGCAGAAAAACTAACACATTTTCAATAAAAATTCTAAAATATATTTACTATGCTAACTCTCCTGATTCGGTACTATGAGAAAAAAGAAATAACTTGAAATTTTATTTTAATATTTCCTATTTTACTCCAGTGTATTAGTATGTTTGCTTAATTTGTCTCTGTCTTTTCTTAGACTTGTTCCCCGTGACCTTATAGGCCTATAGAGTGCGGTTGCATTAAAAAATGAAAACTTATAATGACAGTCTTATAAAAAGATTAGTAACTTCAAACATACTTAGATTCAAGACTGATAGACCTGATGCTGCTGAACTGCCAACCAATATACAAATGTTTATCAGTAGACAGAAATGATTTATAAGTGAAATTATTTATAAGCTCTTATACATATTTGAAATGTCAACTTATTTTTATAACAGGGTGGAAAGATTCCAGTAAGGTGGACGGCACCTGAAGCTATCCAGTATCGGAAGTTTACCTCAGCCAGTGATGTATGGAGCTATGGAATAGTCATGTGGGAGGTCATGTCTTATGGAGAAAGACCTTACTGGGACATGTCCAATCAAGATGTAGGTATTACACTGTTTAAGCAAAAAGGATTTAATACATTAATATCATTTACTATTGGATCATGTTGGTAATAGCTCACTGAGAAGAATTTTTGTAGAATTATGCAACTGGATTTTCTTAGTTATTCACAATTATTACTTCAAATTCCTACAGTTAATTATGATAAGCTAATGGTTCTATTAAGTTTATTTTGGTTTTCCTTCTGAACAGTTACTTTCTCTTTTCACTTAATTTCTCCTGGCATCAAAGAAGACTACAAAGGATATTTCTTCTTAAATAAAGATACTGGTCGGGCCGGGGATTTAGCTCAGCAGTTCGGTGGCCTGCCTTGCAAGTGCAAGGACCCGAGTTCAATCTTCGGTACAAAAAAAAAAAAAGATACTGGTGCTGTGCTTGTATAGTGTGGTAAGAGAGCTCCAGGAGTAAATAAATGCTTTTTGGAGAGAAGGAGGATTGGGTTTCATTTTCTTTATTTCTTTAAAGCTTAGGTTTCTTTTTGTTTTAGTGTTCTGAAAAAAAAAATCTGTTTAAATCGGCCATTGTTGATTAACTGTGTCAAATTTTAATCTCATGATACAATCTAGATTTTAAATCAATAATGGTGTTTATATATATATATATACACATACACACATATATATACACACACACATATATGACTTATAAAATATGGATATTCTGTTGTTATGGGACATATTAAGACATAAAACATGTCGCAATCCTTTGAGAAGAGGAGCTGATAATAGTCTGTAGAAACATATATCTCATACCAAGATAACTTTATAAGTAATGAAATATAAACACAAATGAATGTTTGCTTTAATTACATTGAGTTTAATAAAATGCCATTTCTGTCCATTGAGAACATTCAAATATTGGCAGATTCATATAGTTCAACGTATTGAAAATGTGAGTGAAATTTAGATAAATCTAAAGAAAGCACAAAATCCAAGAATGTTCCCTAGGTGGAACTATGTGGAAATTTGGTGAAGATCTTGTTTACATGTGATGAGAAAATTCTCCAAGAGAGCATCTTGAAGAGTCCAGAAGCAAAGGTTGAAGATGATATATGGAGTCCAACCAAAGTGACTCAGTTTCTTATAACAAAGATACTGGTTCACTGCTGGTTATTGGAAAAGAGTATTATGTCAGGACAGATTGATGAAAGGCTTCTTTGAAGGAGATGGGAACTCATTGCAAGTATAAGCTCTTCAAAAAGTAAGAAAAGAATAATCACTTCTTAAGGAAAGTTTGCATTGTCATTTAGAAAACAAATGTGACCAGCAAAACTATTTTGGAGTTGCTAGCTCTTAAAGTAGTATGTAAACATGGACAGCAGTAGAAGCTGACTATAATTACAATTGCATTATTTTTTTAAAAGGAGATTATATAAATCTTACATTAACATCTTTGTTTATAATTTTAGAACTGTCCATATCAGATTCCTTTCACTTAAAACTTATTTTTAGACAACTAAAGTAAGACTGTTGTTGAGAAGTTTATTTTGGGTGCATCTACGTCCAGATTTCCATGTTAACTGAACAGTTCTACTTGAAATGGGGAAGGGTTTAAATAAGTTAAATATTTTGATGTGTTGAATAGAGTGATTACATGAAACTTTTTATTTGTTTTTTTGTTGTTTTATTTTTGTGTTTCAAAGTGAAAATCTAAATGATGAGTCCTTTTGGCAGAGGCAAAGTTGCTAATATTTGACAGGTCTCAGTGTCAAAGATTTCATGGACTGTCAAGATATGGCAAACAAATCCTTGGGGCAGAGAAAGAGAAATATTTACATTCCCCAGACACTTCATGGAGTTTCACTTCTTTTGACACGTTCTTTTATACCAGATCCCAACATGAAATGGCTGACAGGATTATAAGACGATTTAAATTCAAAGTTTATTTAACTTCCAAAAATAATAATGAAAATTATTAAGAAAGGAAAAATAAATATCTCTAATTTTAATTTTTAAACCCTCCAATATTATTTCTTTATCATAAAAGGGGCTGTCATAAATGCAGAATGATTATACCAAAGAATAATAAATATTTTAAGTGATTAAATGAAATTGTATATGCAGAGTTTAGTTCTGACCTGAATATTTGGTACCATCCTTCTTCTACTTCTTCCTTTTATTTATTTTTCATTTTTAACTTCTGCATTAAACTTGGATACAAATTTGTACAGTAATAATAAATTATCTAATATATCATATTATATAGTGAACTAGCTATTCATGTTCTTATTGTATAATATTCATTATCTGATAGCTACACTGTTAAAGTGCTACTTGAGCAACTATATATAATTTTTAATATGCAAATGGAGAAAAACTGGGTAATTCAAAATAATTCTGGTATAATATTTTTAGAGAAAAGCTTTTTTTTTAAAGTGGAATCTGTGTGAAGGCTTCATGGAGAACCTAAAGAGATCTTTAAACTCCTTAATATATGTGGGATATATACCTGTGTAAAAATATTTATTGTATTTTTCTGGACAGGTTCCCATGATCAAATTTTCATATAAATACATGGTTACAGAGATACATAAATTAGACTAGATGGACTTATTAAGTATACCAGTTCACTTTGCATTGTCTAAATTTAGGAGCTAGGTGTTGTCAGCGACTTTAGAAGGCCCTCAGCCTTGTGTTTTAAGACTTTTCATGAGACATCGTGAAAAGTGATGGCTACATTTCTAAGCAGATCCTCAAAATTCTGGGCTGTGTGATGAATGAGATGAAGTTTCTGTAATCACAATAGAGAAGTCAGTGAGCTAGTTCATTGTCAGGAGGCTTGGTTTCACTCTGGTCAAAGCGGTGAGCAGGAGAAATTTAGGGAAAGGAGGTACGTATGTAAGTGAACAGACCACAGCCAAGTAGTTTATCTCTTGGTAAATACTCGAGTGAGAACTTATTTTGGTTCTCGTACACTTAAAACTTTCTAGAGCTTTAACTGCACTGCAACAGTTAAATATAGATATTTGCTAAAAAATCAAGAGGTTAAGCTTTCTAAATAAATTTTTAACTTCATTTCTTCAGCCAAGTCTGCAGATATTTAGCCTTTTCCATTAATGCCTTTTCAAAGAAAAATCTGTATGTATGTAAATATGGTCAAGCATAATAAATACTGTAGAAATTGAAAATCCTCTTTGGGCTTTCACACTAGCTGTCTTTGAATTGAACTTATATTTTGATTAGTCGAAAAAAGTTTTTTTTTTTCCTTTCATCTTATGAAAGTTTGAAATTATTGTGTAGGTTTTCTGTTTGTGGTATTCAACAAAGTAGTTTCTTCTTATTAGGATATAAGAATAAATTGTTAATTTTATTAGTAGTTTAGTCATAAGGATAATAACAAATTAAGGTTCCATAAAGATACAGGACATAAAGATAATCCCTTCAAATTATCCATTTAGTCTTTAATAGCTTTAAAATTATATTTATAACTAAGTTTATTCTTAACTAGATTGTAAACTCTCATTTTTTTCCACTTAGAAATCATTACTGATATATGACTTTGTATTTTTTCATATGAAGACAGAACAAAACCTGCAAAATATTTTGGTAAAATTTTGACATAATCCCATAAGTGCAGTGCAGCATATTTAATTGTAGAAATGTGAGTCATGTTGTTATGAGGTTAATGAAGTGAAGATGAGCTTTAAGCAGAAGACAGAAGCTGATCTTATTATATTCCATTTTGAGTTATTGCAGACCCATCATGGTAGTGTCTTTCCATGCTCCATTTTATTTAATTATCATGGTCATGCTCTAATAATATGGAAACATTATGAACAAGTAACTTTGGTTTTATTTCTAAATATTTCTTGACAGTTTATGACAAAGAAATGATCCCTGCTTTGCCCCAGAAATCTTTTTAGAAAATATCACTGCTCTTATCACTTCCTGTTCTTCTGGGACCATCTAGATGTAAAATTGCTGTCAATATTTTTCCGTGACTTCTGTTGGAGAGGTAGGGGTAAATCAGTGTAGACAAATCCAAGGTGTTTCTGATCATTTTACAAATTTTAAATACATTTAAAATACATTTAAATAATCACATAATCCCCTTAAAAATACAATTTTGGTCATTTTATCTGTATGCTTTGTTCTTTCCAAGAATATGCAATTATTTGCAGAAAGTATTCTTAATTTTTCTATATGGAAATATAAAGCCATTTATAATCACATGAGTTCTGATGAGTTAGCCTATATCAAATTCTATCTCTTTTATTGACAGCTATGTGATATTGGCCATTTATTTTATTTTTATGTGCTGCATATTATTTTCTCAACAGTCAGTACAATACTAATACCTACCTAATAAGACTTGTATAAAATCAAATGAGGTGATTTCAGTTTAAAAGCCTTTATAGAGTAAGTATTACATAAATGTTTGCTATGATCATTCGTTGTGTACTTAACAGGTAAGTTTTCCTGGTAATTTAACCACATAAAATTGCAAAACTTCGAGGTTCAGTTTGTCACCAAATCATCGCCTTTGGCTGGTTTATCCTCCAAGGGCATAGTTTAGATTATGCTGAACTACCTTAAAAGGCAAAGGAGTTGCCAACAAGTATCTTTAGTGCTTCTCTGGTTAGGGAGCTGATTATCAGTGGGTGCTTTAGTGTCCCAAATTCCATTCTCGTATCAGGGCATTCACTTGATGTTTTATACTCTGCTGCTACTCCTTTAAAATTTTGAAAATTTACAACCCACTATCTTGGAACATAACGAGAAATTGTGCTTTGTGTTGAGATCAGTATTGTTCCCCTGCTATAACAATAAGCTTCATCAGATTTCTATAATGTAATTGTTACCTAGAGAGGTCCTTTAACTCATTCTTATAAGAGTCATTCAGTGGTACTATGCTCTGTTCATTGACACAAGGACTTAAGAATAAATTGTGTTCACCGCTGAAGAATTCTAAATGTTGTCAGAAGCTTGATGCCCTGTTGAAAAAAAGCAAGTCAAGAAGGTCACGAAAAGATTTAGATTTACATTTTAAAGGATGATTTGAAGGGAAGAGAAATTTTATCTGCATTGTTCTGTTAAGAACACCTGAAGAAGCAGGGCAGTAGATTAGGAGGTGATGCAGAATGGAGAATTATGGACTAAATTATGAGCATTAAAGTGAAGTTCTATCAAATCAGATGGAAATTGCATATGCTCAAATACAAGCAACTACGAATAAAGGAAAGAAAAAACTGCCTCTGCTATTGGTTATGATGTGGTCCTTTTAAACACATGAATCTTTGATTGTTATAGTTTTCTTATTCACAAATTAAACCATTGCTTGGCTCATTTAACCAAGCTTTCCAGAAGTACACTATATTAAATTTTATCTAAGTTATTTAACATATAGCACCTTTGAGTCCAAGTACAGTACTGTTATTGGAACGTTATACAAAATCACACGAAGTTCTTAGAATTTAGAACACTTTTTAACATATAATCCCTCCTGTATGTTTGTGATCATCGCAGAGTCACCATTTATGCATATTTGCTTATAGAATAAATAGCTTTATAGAGGGATGTTTTAGATGAGTGTTTACAGTGATCCACCATTTATAGTTACAGTGTCATAAATTTTAGAATTTTGCTAAAATTCAGTTTCACCACTAGTTATTAAAGGTCACCCAGAACAAAGGTGTTTTCCCCATAATTTTTGTTCAAAACAATGTCCTTCAGGAGTAGTCCACACTGTGAGACTTTGTAAAGACCTGTCTATACAACAGTCAGAGATCATATGATTCTTCAGGGAGTGAAAAATGCTTTCCTAGTACTTGGCATAGATTTATTTAAGATGCAGAATCATCAGAAGGTGGTAACTGAGTGGCCATGAATGTGAAAACGGTACTACATTTCTCAGCTTTTTGTCTGAAATGACTGGTATTGCTATTAATTGAAATAGAAAATGTTCAGAAGGAAGACAGTAAGTTCAAGTTTAGATTTAGAGAGAGAGATACCTATGAAGAATCCAGGTGAGATGATCATAGACATGGAAATACTATAACCTAGTTGCTAGGAGAGAAGTAGGGCCAAGATTTATGCTTTTCAAATTCACTCTAATTAAGTTTATTCATTTAACTTTTATATTTTGTCAATTTACCCATACAGATTTTTCTTAAATTAAATTTTACAACAGACTTAAGTTTTTCGCATATTCAAAAGATTTTCTCCAAAAATTTTAATGGCAATATCATTATTAATGACATCCTACACTGTTTCACATTTTATTATGCTATTATTGAATGTCAAGATGAAACTCATGGACATGTTTCTGTAAAGAGAGTAAGGTCACTAACATTTACTAAGGACACCTTTTGTCTACCTACTTATGGCTTAATTTTCTTCAAAAACTCAAGCTTAGATTTTTTTTTTTGAAAGTCATTTTTTTCTTCCATTTTTACTGCTATTATATGTGTCAATGCATCATTATGCCCCTTGAATAGATTTTATTGTAAATCCTCCATATGTGTGGGTTTTTAGCTTCCCATTATCTTCTCTGTGCTGCTCACTCTTTAAAAATTTTTGATGTTTAAGATCTTTCTTTTTTCTGTATAAATAACATATTTGAATAAGTAACTCAGACATTCTGATTACCATGTGCAAATGTTCGTGGAGACCTATTTTTAATTAACATTCAAAGCTTGAAAAGAACAAGAACTCCGGCTGTTATTGCATATGCATAGAGGTATGCTGATAAAAGTTTAAAAGCCAAGACTTCTGACTGCGAAAGCTCTCTCCTGTCACCTTACTCACTCTCCTCTATATTGATTTCTGTCTGCTAGTGTGGAGCCACTGGATGTGAGTCAGGAATGAGTGGTTTCACCTCCTGCGAACCCGTACAAACTGGCTCCACATACCACTTATAACAGTAAAGGCTAATAAGCTTCACATTTTTTAACAGAATAAGTGTGGTTGGTAACATTTTCTGTCATTCTGTGTTCCCATATTTTGATATCTTGTTTAAAAGTATCACTTGCGCTCAACTAAAGTGAATCATTTTTACATAGTCTGAGTAGCTCAGTTTCCTTTTCCACTTGCAGATTCTTTTAAATTTATAGACAAGTATGTGTACTCAAAATGTATGCAAGTAAAATAGTTCCATAACATGTTCTCTTTTGAAAACCTCTGGGATGACATTAAATATGTTTCCATCTCTCGCACCTTGGTGAACTTAATTGCTGCTCCCTATTGCTGAATTAACTAGAAAATGTCATCATATCCTGTACTTCATGAACCCCTTAATAACATGCTTAGTATTTATGGATGTTTTGGAAAAAAAGTAAGTAAGTCTATTTGCAAAGCTATGTGTCTCTGTCATATCTGGATAAAAAATGTTGCCTACCAAGCAATTCATTTTATTGTAATTGAGCCTCAGTCAATAATATTTTAATGTCCTCTTGGCTGTTAGGTTATAAAAGCAATAGAAGAAGGCTATCGCTTACCAGCACCCATGGACTGCCCAGCTGGTCTCCACCAGCTAATGCTGGATTGTTGGCAAAAGGAACGTGCTGAAAGGCCAAAGTTTGAGCAGATAGTTGGAATTCTAGACAAAATGATTCGAAATCCAAATAGTCTGAAAACACCGCTGGGAACTTGTAGTAGGTAAGAAATACTTGAGGGGAGAGAATCTGGATGACAATGAAAAATACTCCCATAAACCTTTTGCTCCTTAACCCTACCTCAATAATAAATGGATTGTTGTGTTGAAATATTAATCCACATTATATATATTTATAGCAGTTTTTCTGTACAGATGGCTTATCTCAATTGCTATTTAAAGAGTTAATTTTTTTCTTTTAAGGTATGACTCACTACCTATCTTTTTCAGAAAACTGTCTAAACTGAATTTTCTGAAAAAATAGCATTTTATATTTGCAGAACAGTATTTTCGCATGGATTTTTATTACTGTTGACTGACAACATATTGTCTATTTTAATGTTTTACTTTGAATTACTTGATAAAATGGTTCTGTGAAAGTTCACAAAAGTAACTCAACACACCATTTAAGAGGTAAATACATTGTAAAAAAAAAAAGTCCATTCGTTCTTTTCATTTGGCTTTCTCCATTATAATGCATATCAGTAATCATTTAGCTCCTGGTGCCAGGAAACTTGATACTCTGACCTGCATTGCTAGTGCTTGTAGAGTTGAATTGACTCCACACACCTCACAAGATAATTTTGGTACAGCAGACACAGTCTTTTCAATATCATTCTTGTGGCCTGAGGAAATTAGCACAAGCCCAGCTATGCTTCCTTCCTCCTAGTTATGCACTTTTAAAGAAGTAAATGAACAGGGTCGGGGATTTAGCTCAGTGGTTTGGTGGCCTGCCTTGCAAGGGCAAGGACTTGAGTTCAATCCCCGGTACC